TACCACAATGCCTAGTAATACATATAATTTCTTATACCCACAGTCTCAAAAAGGATTTCAACCCATTGTAATTGCAAGATTTATTGGAGGCCAAAAAACACTGACTTGACTCTCCCTCCTCAGTGTTTGGGAAGAATGGTTTCTTTCCCCTCAAGTAGGTACCCAGTTACCCAGTTCTGCTCTGATGTTGCTTAGGGTGTCCTTCCTGGGCCCTGGTCAGTGAGCCTGACATCTTTAAGTGACTGTTACCTATAGCCATCTAGCACTGCATGTGTGGTCAGGTGATCCGGAAAGGTTCCTTTCTCTGAGACATAATGTGCTCTAGGGACACAAAATATGACCACAAGCTGAATATGGGGTACACAATTGTAATTTCAGCATTCTTGGAGGCTGAGGCAGGAGGATGGAAAGTTTAAGCCCAACCTACAATTTAGTGAGACAGTGTCGAAAAAAACATAAAAATGAAAAAGGGATACAGTTTAGTGCATTTGACTGGGGATACAGTTTAGTGCATTTGACCCCTAGTACTTAGTGGATTCAATTCCTAGTACCAAAAAACAAAACAAAACATTATAACCCAACTGTGACCTTAAGCCTACTGTCTCCTGTGCCCACTTCCTGGTGAGGAAAACCCCAGACTCATCATGGTTCTCATCCCAGGCACTTTCAGGGCACTAGGCAGAAGCAGCATGAGCTAGAGGTGTTTGGAGCTCAGGATACCTCGGAGTCTGGGAGCCCAGGCCTGGAGGACATTCACAGCTGCTGTGTCAACAAAGGCACCTGTTTGCCTAGGTCCTTCTCCCAGGGCCCCACCCCACCTGTTCCACCTTAGGACGCATCATTGCCACACCAACCTCCCCTGCAGGGAACTGGGTCCCTATTGTGCCCGGGAGGAGGGGGCTCAAGTGAGGGTGGTGTATATCCCAGAGGGCTTTCTTAGAGCGGATTGAGGCCCTGTGATTAAGATGGAGCTGCAGTAGGGGCTGCTTACTGAGGCTGGGACAATTGCCTGGTTGGGATGTTTTAGGGCAGCAGAGCACAAGCTGCCCAGGAAAGCCATGTGGGTCTAGAGTAAGCAGGTAGGGCAGGGGCTGGAGCTTTACCCTGGCACAGTTTGGTGTGGCCCTCTCTGTCTCCATTAATGTCCTGGATCAAGGACAGAAATAGACATGTCAGAACATGATTTGATCCGTCGAGCCTCAGCTTCCTCAGCTTGTGGTGTTTGGTCTTGGCAGCCCCAGCAGAGTGATACTACCACCCCATCATGGTGTCTCCTGGATCCTGACAGCATCCAGTCTAGGCAAGATCCTGCTTCCTTGGGCCCTTTAGCCTAAGACCACGCCAAGTTCTGCAGTCCTTCCTGACACCCTCCTACTGAAGTGCCCTGCTCCTATGTCTGTTTTCAGGTGCCCTGCTGAGAAGCTCTGTGCTGAACCAGCCATGTAACCTTTCTGCCTAACCCTGGGAGACACACTGACACCTCAGCCTTCATTATCTCAAAGCACACAAAGAAATTTCACGGGAGGCCTAATGTCCCACTAATGGGAGTTGGAGGCTACAACCCTCTGTGCTTAATGGTAGGATAATTTATTGTAGCACCACTTGAGAGGTGACATATTGGAGCTATTGATTTTCCTCGGAAGATCAATATGGGGTGCCTGGGGACAGGCAGGGTTGCACCTCTGGAAGGACAGAGCCTTATCCCAGGGCCTGAGGCCTGAAGATGGGATGTGAGCTGGTGAGGGCAGAGGACAGACAGCTGCGCTTGGCCAAGCACTGCCCACAGACAGTAGGACATATGCTTGGGCCCCAGCCTCCTAAAGGGCCCAGATGGATGGGGGTTGGAGAGGACACAGCCACCCAACACCAAATAGACACAAGCAGGCAATGCTTCTGGAAAGTGACAGACACCCCTCAGACTGCTGTCCTCTTGCCCAATCTCACCAGAAATAAAAACCAGAGCTCATCTGCCTGACACCTAGGTGCTTTTTTTTATACTTTCCTTTTTTTTTTTTTTTTTTTTTTTCAGAAACTCTGCATTTGTAGCTTTTTTTTTTTTAAAGTATTTTTTTTTGTGGGTACCAGAAATTGAACTCAGGACCTCACGCTTTCCAGGCAGGTACTGAGCCACTGATCTATATCCCTGGCCCCTAGTCTATCTTGAATGGGGTGCAAAACTCTGTAGGGGAAAGAAAGGGATGGTTCATTGGTCTACTCAGCAGGTGCTTGAGTCTGTTTCTTAAGGTGCTCATAGCCCTGTTCCCTATCATCGCCCCTCAGTGCACCCCCACAGGACCCCCTCATGACTTGGGCTGGTGCCGGAGTACCTTCCCCAGGCTCCTGCCTCAGGCTTCCCCTATTCCCAGTCCACAGTGCCAATACCACAGGCTCTGCCCAACCTTGTCTTCCCTACCTGGTGTGTTTTCTTTCCATACTAGAATTTTCCATCCCTGACTGTGATTTTCTCCTTGGTCTCTTGTTAGGCAGAGAAAATCACCAGGATTCCTCCAGGACAAGGACAAGAGTCTGAGGGGCTGGGGATTTAGCTCAGCGGCAAAAGCGCCTGCCTGGCAAGTGCAAGGTCGTGAGTTCGGTTCCTGGTACCGGAGAAAAACCAAAAAAAAAAAAAAAAAAAGGACAAGAGTCTGGTGGTCAGTATATGGCCTCCTCAGCTGGCACTAATGGGCACCTCTGTCCTTGGTCATGCAGATCCCTACATCCTGTCAGGCCCCAGCCCCACTGTCCAGATGTCTGAGTCAAAGGATAGGGGATAGGGGTTTAAAGACCAGGCCCTCAGGTAGGAAGTTGGTAGCCTCAGGGAAATGACTGTCTCCTGCCTTTGCCTCCTGGGAGCAGTAGCAACTGCCTCTCCAACTCTTTAGTGATAGAGGGACAAGCAGAGGCTCAGATGTTCAAGGTCTCACCTTGAATGTGGGCTGTGTGCTTCCCGTGGCGGAAGAAAAGGTCTTAATTTCACAGCCAGCCACTCAGTCTCCCTTCTGACTGAGTCTCCTGCTGTGGTTTTCCTCTGCTGAAACTAACAGTCACAAGCGAGTGGCTTAAATGACATTCAGTGCTCTAGAAGTCAGGGTGTCCCAAGCAGGTTTGATTGGCCTGAAACTGAGGTGTCAGTAGATCACACTCGAGACTGGAATGGAGATGTCTGTTTCCTCCCTATGTTTTCCAGCTCTTGGAAGCTCCTTGTACCTTCAGCAGCATCTTCCAGTCTTTCTCTGACTCTCACCTCCTGCCCTCCTTTGGAAGAACTCTGGCCCCTTGGAAGAACACTGACCACCTGCAAAGTCCAGGTTCTCATCCTTGGGACCAGGGTGCTGACTATAGCTCCCAAGCACAAAACGGCTACCAGGTCCTTAAAATTTCCTGCCTTCCAAGTGCCAGGAAATGACTGCAGCCATCAGCAAGGGCTAGACACCACAGCATTGGAATGTCACAGGGTAGGAGGTGGTTGTTTCCCACCTGAAGGGTGTGGGACTGGAGACAAGGGACAGAGACCCAGGAAAGGGTGGTGTGGTGTCCACAGCCCTTCTAACCCCCTGGACAGGTAAAGATCCAGGAGCTGAAGACTCAGAAGAGCAAATGTCATGGGGCTCTTGGGCACAAGTCAACCAGGGAGGGAGCTGCTGTCCTATCCTTAGAATGAACCCCACCAGCAATGGGAGTCACAGCAGGTAGTGTCTGAGTCCGAATCCTCCTGGCCAGTGGCAGTGGGGTTGCTGCACGGAGCAAAGTGCCCTCTGGAGCCACATGTGATGATGATGGGGTAGGAACCATAACCCATGTGGAAGATAGCTGGGCTGGAAATCCATGTCTACTTGGAAATCTCTGAAAGTGACCCTTTTTGGAAATAGGGTCTTTGCAGACATTATCAGTTAAGTTGATGTCACGGTGAGTTAGTGTGGGCCCTAAAGCCAATGATGAGCATCCTTAGAAGAGAGGAGACACACATGGACACACGTGAACAGCCTATGTAAAGATGAGGGCAGAATCTGGAGCAAAGTGGCCACAGTCAGAAGCACCAAGGCTTGCCAGGAACCCCAGGAGCAGAGAGGCTGAGGCAGGTTCCCCTGGAGTCTCTGGAAGGAACCATCCTTGGTGACACCTTGATTTGGGTTCCAGCCCCCAAAACTATGTCCTAGACTACCTTGTTTCTGGTCAGTGATTACAGTGGCCCTAAGACACTAACCATTACACGGTAAAAAGCCTGAGAGGCCCCAAAGTATTTGAGGGAGTTGGCAAGAGCTGGAGTCTCCTAGCTTCACTGTGGGTGGCAGCAGCCAGAGGAAGGCTTGGGTGTAGGGAAGGGAGGTGCCACCTCCACCCAGACCCTGGAAGCCCAGAGCAGCAGGAACTTCAATCAGGTGAACTGAAAACTCCCCTGCAGCCCTGCCAGGCAGGGTTTCCATCACAGTCCTGTATGGGCTGGCTGACACTGGCCAAGCTCCCCAGAAGGGCCTCCTGTGGCTGGAAGGGGCTGGTCAGGGGCTCCAGGGGACACTGGCATCCGTTCATCCTCAGGCCCCTGTTAGTGGTCTCATGGCTTCTTTCCCTTTTTCTACAGGGTGTGTTTGCTGGCAGAAGCCTGTGTATGTAGCACACAGAGAGGCAGGATGTCCTCTAGAGAGGCCTACTCCAGAACTCAAAATAGCATGAAATTTAATTTTCCACCTATTTGACAAGGCTTGGACCGGGCCCCAAACAGCAGCAGAGATAAGATCCTCGGGTTCAGGGTGTGGGCCAGCTGGGCCCAAGGCAAACACTCCACGGTCCCCCAGCAGGCTGTGTGCAGGTGAGGCTGGTCTGCAGCGCTCCCCCCGCGGGGCCCTGGTTGCTGGGTGCTAAAGCAAACGGGGTCTGTTTGCCCAGTCTGTGATGACAATGCCGTCGCCAAATATTTGCCAGCCTGGGGTGGTTGTGAAGCCCAGCTATAAATGCTTGAGCCCAGGTGGAAGTAGGCCTGCCAAACGAAGAGGTACACTCTGGCCAGGTAGGAGCAGGGCGTGCGGTGGGCTGGGAGGCTGCTGGGGTACCACACACTGGGGGCTAGGAGGTCCTGGCCCAGAGTGTTTCCAGGACTCCCTCTTCCTGTGTCCCCCACTGGATACCTCCTAGAGCAGGGCACCCAGCTCAGCAAGGGAGGTCTGATCAGAGTGTTCAGCCAGGTAGGGAGGCTCTTAAGTGGCTCCTCACCTCATCACCTGACCCTGAGGAGCACTTGTCCCAGGGTTTCGGCCACTCATTCCCAGGCCCCCCCTTTACTCCCTCCTACTGGGGGCATTCACCTGCTTCTGTGTTATGGAGGGGACTGGTAGCATCTGTCCTTGGGGTGAGGCTCCAGGATCCAGAAACTGTGTCAGCTAGACAGTAGGAGACCCATCTGCTCCCAGTCACCTCCCAGCCCCCCACCCACTTTCTTTAGGCCCATTCCTTCTGCCATGAAGGTGTCTTTGCACCTTTCTTCTACTGAGTTATATTAAAACCTAGGGTTGTGCCTAGGTCTGGATGAGACGGGCTGAGTCAGGAGGGCCTCGTAGCCTCCGATGCTCCCAACAGCAGCCACAAGGGGTCTGTGCAAGGTCAAGGTGGTTGCCAAGCTGTTACTTTGACATCACAGCAACCCAGGCTAGGAGGAGCCCAGCCCCCTCCCCACTTCTCTGAGCAGCGCAGCCTGGGCAGAGCTGGGCCACTAGTTTCTCTCTTCCCTCTACTACGTCTGGACATAGTGAACACAATTTTAATGATTCCAATGGTGCAATCCATTCTGACCCTACAAGACAGAATCTGGCTGCTCCTGCAAAAGACTAGACATTCTCCTGAAACCCACACCTGTGCCTTGCAGGTTCTCCCCCTACACACTATTGGCCACATGCCCACCATCAGCATCTGCCTACCTCTCCTCCTGAGGAGCTCAGCAGCATCCCCAGGAGAGCCAAGAAAACCTTGAGTCCATCAAGGTACTGCCAGCCCTGACTGTTAACCTGCTCCTCTACCTCCCTCCTCAGCTGGTGTTTGCTACCCCAGAGTCCCCAGGAGTTCAGGGACAGCAAGGAGATGGCTGCTGGTGTGATCCAGCCACTCTGTGACTTCCAGCTGCCACTGCAGTCCCATCAGCCCTTCCTGTCCTCTGAACCAGAGCCCCCAGAAACTTCTGAGGAGGAAGAAGAAGAAGAAGAGGAGGAGGTGGAACAGGAGCTGGAGGCTGAAGGGCTGAGGGGCTACTGCCTGGCTCCCCAGAGCCCAGAAGTGGCCCCTGAGGGCCCTGAAAGTCCTGAGACCCCACAGCAACTGCTCCGCTTTTCACAGCTCATCAGTGGTGACATCCAGCGGTACTTTGGCCCCAAGGACAAGGAGCAGGACCCAGACTCCTGTGATATCTATGCTGACAGCCACCCAGCCAGCTGCTCTGCCCGGGAGCTATACTATGCTGACCTGATGTGCCTGGCCCAGGGTGGACCCTTGGAGAACAAGGAGGCCACTGACTCCAGGGTCTGCTCAACTTGGGGGCTCGAGGGGCCAGCATGTGGTCCTGCAGATGGGGTACCACCACTGGGACCCCTGGCCGAGCTCTTTGACTTTGGGTTGCGGCAGTTTCCAGGGCCTAGCACATCTGCTGGTCGCAGGCTGAGACTAGAGCGGAAATATGGCCACATCACACCCATGACCCAGAGGAAACTGCCCCCATCCTTCTGGAAGGAGCCAGCACCTAGTGCCTTGGGCCTGCTCCACCCAGGTACGCCAGACTTCAGCGATCTGCTAGCCAGTTGGTCAGCTGAGACCGGCCCAGAGCTGCAGGGTGGAGGCAGCCAGGCCCTGGAGGGAGCACAGCTGGCTGAGGCCTAGCAAGCAGGCAAGGGTCAGGAGAGCACTGGGAGAAGCATCAAGGGTTGCCCAAACTCTCCTTCCTGCTCCCCAAGACCCTCTCCCTCCAGGCAGCTTCACAGCTGGCTCACCAGCTCACGTGAGGCCTCTCTAGGCCCAGGGGCAGGGTCTGGGCTTTTGCTGAGGTCTGGATCTACAACACCAGGGAGGGAGTCAGGAACAGTGGGGCCATTCAGATCCAGGCCTCAGCCCTTTGGCCCAGAGCCTCCCATAGCACAGGTCCTCAGAGTTGTGCCCACAGGAAGAGGGGACACAGGCAGAAGCTCCCTAAGGCCATGGACCTACATGCTTATGCCTCTTTTCAAAGAGGCCTACCCCAAGATTCAGGTCAGTGGCAAGGGGCTACCAGGAAAGGGCCCAACACCAGGCTAGCCCTTACCATTGCCCCACACACCATGAGGTCTGAGCCCATGATCCCTGGGCAGGTGGCAGGGCCACAGACTATGGGATAAACCATGTTTTCTTCAAGGAGAGGCAGGCAGAGGGGGCACTGCCTGAACCTGTGAGCAGACATGACTGTTTACCCCCCAGGTTAATGCCAAGAAGCTGCTTCTGCCACTGCAGAATCAGGTGATAGCCGTGAAGCTGGGGACCAACCTAAGGAGCCCCGGGCTCAGGCATGCAGCTTCTAGGTGTCCTTCCTCCCCATATCCTTGCCAGTGATTTAGGTGCATCCAGAGGCAGGCCTGGGTCCTCTGTAAAGAGCCAAATGGGGCACCTTCTTCCTGGTGCAATGGGGTTCCCAGACCACCACAGAAAGTAATGGGACCAGGCACTAGGCTAGGCAGGACAGGAAGGAGCCTAGAGGGTGAGGGATTAAGCCTTTTGACCTTGCTCCTTCCCACTGCTCCATCCTGGTCAGCCCCACAGGCCCCTGGAGAGGATACCACCAGCAGGCAGCAGGGACTTGGCTCCCACAGGTATAAGAGTTAGCACGTTTATTTCTGGGGAAAGCACACAGATGCGAGCTGGGGCACAGGAGCCCTGTAGGAAGACTCTGACACCGCTTCCAGCCTCTGCTGAGCCATTCGATTCAAGATGATGGCCTTCCACTGAAGCCACCTGCCAGAGACACCACTCAGGGCCAAGACTCCCTTCCACCAACCTCCCTGTGGCTGGCCACTGTCCTCAGGGAACCTCCCAGCTCTTCTCCTGGACCCAGAGTCTGGGAAGAGGCTATCAAGCTCCAGCTGCTCACCTCACGGCCTGATAGATGCCCCAACAGTTCATGGGAATCTGCTCGCCAGGGGCCACATCCTTGATGAAAAACCGCTGCCTCACCAGGGACATGAACACCCGCCTGCTGCCCAGTGTTAGCGGCCATGGGCCCTCCTCGCTCCACAGATGCAGCATGCTCTCCCGCAGGGCCGCTATCTCCTCGGAACGCTGCAGGATGGACACAGGGGCGCCAAGTGGGGGTGAGACAGCTGTTGGAATGTGGAAGTTGATGAGAGGGAAGGATGGGGGAAGAGAAGATGGCAAACAGAGGCTTATCTCCTCCTTATCTTCAAGGAAAGGCTCAGCACCAGCCAGACACAGTTTGTGGGCTCCTCTGGACCCCCTGGGAGACTGTAGAGCTGGAGGATGCAGTGAGGCTGGGGAAGGATAGGATCAGGGCTGTGGGCTTCATCTTACCAGCTTGGTCTCTGTATTAAACTTCAGGTTCTGGATGGTCTTGTTGGCCTGGATGCTGTTTTCTAACTTTATCATTTGCTTCTGAAACTAAATATAGCCCTTTTTATGACACAGACTGAGGCTCCTGCTAGTTTCCAGCTGCCTTGAGTCCCCAACCCAGAATCACTGAGCAACTCAAGAGCTCAGTGCTGGGCACAGCGGTTTCCCTGGGCCCAAGGGTACCGTGGCCAGCTTGCCCTGGATTTCTGCAATCTTCCGGCTGGGGTTGTCCTCCTTGAACAGCTGCACAGATGACAGCACAGTGGCCAGCTCCTGCCGCATAGCCCTGACCTCGAACTCTCTGTAGGCATGGAGAACTAGCTATGGTACAGGGCAAGGCCAGCAGGGAGGAGGCTTGGGCCACAGTGGGGTCCTCAGTGATTAGCAGAAGGGGAATTTGAGGGACCCTGCAGGCTGCACCACAGGGAGATGAACCCAGAGTGGGGCTGGTGGCCTAGCGAGGAGATGAAGCTGCCACAGCACCTAGGGACTTGGGGAGCACTGTGGGGACCAGCATAGCCCAGGGATATTCAGTGGAGCGCCTGACTTTCTCTCAGGAGTGCTGGAGGCCAGCTGATACCCTTACCTGGCCTTGCCCTCTGCCAAGATCTTCAGGTCTGCATCACTCTTGTGAAGGATACACTTATCTGAGACACCTTCTATCTGAAATACAGAGCACAGCCAGATGGCAGAAGTACAGGCCAGTTCAGGTCCAGCAAGGGCAGCACAGGGAGGGGCGAGGGGAAAGGGAAGAGAAGGTCTCTGTCTTTGAGACTAGTTGTGCCCACCCAGACAAAAACCCTGCCTCCAGCTTTCACTCACCTGTTGGGGAAGGCAGTCTACTTTCTCTCGAACCTCCTGCAGGTGGGCTTCAACCTCCTTTTGCCACTGGACCAGGTCCTCGAGTGACTTCCTCTCTACACCTTCCCACTCAGTCTTTGCCTGGGATTCAGACATCCAATGAGGTGGGAGCCCAGAGGAGGAGGGTGAACAGATGGATGGATGGGGCTAAGTAGCACCAGCCACAGGGAGGCCATGGAAGGCGGGGTGGTGCACTTCCCGAGGGCAGTACCCCATGTCCACTTCTGATTTTGAGCATACTGATGCACAGACACACACAGCCCAGGATGGCCTGGCCAGGCATCTTGGTGGACAGATACACCAGAGAGGGGCAAGGCAGTCCTAGATCATCCCAGATAAGCCCACCAGGCTGAGCATAGCCTCATCCCCAAGAATGCCAGATGCTGCCCACCAAGAACTGATAGGGACAGGGACAGAGAGGGATAGCCACCCTGCAGGAGAAGCACAGAAGCTAGGGTCTGGGGCCCTCCTGGAAGCTGTTCTGATCACACTTATGCCCTGAAGGGCTGCAGGGCTGGCCAGGGATCCAGCCTCCAGACCAAAGGGTGATGCTGATGATCGTGGCAGCACTAGTCACAACAGCCAAAAAAGAGAACCAGCTTGTGTGTCTATCAACATACAAGTAGGTAACAAAATGTGACCTGTCCTACATGAGTGGATGTTATACAGCCACCAAGGGAACTAGACACTGGCCTATGCCGCAGCAGGGACTATGAGGACATCATACTCTGTGAGAGGCCAGAAATCAAAGGCCACACACTACATGACTTCATTGATGTGATGTGTCCAGAACAGGGAAACCACAGAGACAGAAAGTGGGTTAGGGGTTAACAGGAGCTGGGGAGCAGGTGGAAGACTGCTGGTAGGTCTGATGACAAAGTTCTACACTGTGCCAGACCACACTGAAACCGCTAAGCCTCACCCTTGTGGGGGTGAGCTGCCTGGGGTGTGAATTACATCTCAATAAACTGTGCCAAAAAACAATACCTGGGCAGAGGCTGCCTCACTGCCTGCTGCATGGGTCCCAGGGCTCTCTGAAGGCCATGGGCAGTGGCTGTAGGCTCTCAGAGGCCTCTGGAGCTGGAGCTGGAGCTAGAGCTAGATAGAGGCTGTGGCAGGGGCCACCCTTCATTGAACAGGAGGTCCTGCACGGGGGTAACCTAGGCTTCAGGACAATAACTGAGTTGAAAGTTCAGGACTGGCTGGGGTCACCTGGGCCTGTGGAAAGTCACTGTGGCCACAGCCCAGGGGTGGGGTTAGCTGGCCTGGGGACAGCTACCCAGTGACCCAGGGCAGCTCAGGCTCTCCTTCCAGAGTACCTTTCGTTTCAGGCTATGTCGGCACTCACCTCGGACAGCCTCAAGCCTAGTGTCTGCTCCTGCAGGTGTAGCCTCCAGCTCAGGGCCAGGCAGTGCTCACCCAGGTCTTTCAACTGCTGAGCCAGTTTGGACACTGATCTTTCCAGGACCTGGCTCTTTTCTTGGAGCTTCAGGGGCATAGGAAGTGAGTCAGGGGGGCCCTGGCTGGGGGTTTGTACTCTAAGGATGGGGGTCCCTATCACACACACCCAACCCACCTAGTACTCTTACCAGCTCCATTGCACCTTGTGTCTCCTGCCGGGCCAGCTTGCTTGCCAGCTGTACAGCCTCCAGGTTCTCCTGCACGTAGGAGGCCAACTCCCCAGCCTGACTTTCTTCCAAACCCACCTTGGAGACCCTGGGGTTGGTGCCACAGAGACTTCCTCAGTGGAGGCTGGACAATCCCTCAGTGCTGGGCACAGGAAGGAGAGCCCAGCTCTTAGCTCTAGAACCTTCTAGGAACTCCACAAATCAGAGACATGGTATTGTTATTGGTTCCACTAAGAGGGGTGGAGGGATAGGAGCCCTCTGACAGAGGGGCCACTACTCTGCCTTGAGGTATCCAGAGGTACCTAGTACTCTAATTGGGGCCACTGGGGCTCGGGGAATGGAGGACCATTCATTGCTGAGCTGGGCCTCTATGGTCAGTTCCTAAATGACAGACTGGGTGTCCCACCCAGCCCCACAGCCTCCTATGGCCTGAGGATACACACCGGGCCTTCTGCTCCGTCAGCAGGATATGGCTCAGTGACATCTGGTTCTGCCGCACGAACTTGGTGAGCCGAACCACAGCTGCATCCAGACCCCGGCACTGTTCCCGCAGGCAGCCCTCTTTCTCTTGCTGCAGGGAGCCAGCCCTGAGTCTCAGTGCCCACCCTGGCTCCACCCAGCACCCAGAACCAAGGGCCCACCTCATGCTGTCCCCACAGGGCCTGGACACGTTCCTCAGTCAGCTTCTGCAGCTTCTGCCAATGGCCCTCCAGCTCCTCCCGCAGGCTTCTCTCTGCCTCCAGCCGTGTGCCTTCCAAGGCCTTCATTCTCTGTAGAGACACGGCTATTGGTTGGGAGTCTGTACCCTGCCCGGCTGTACCAGTGCCATAAACAGCAAGGTTAAGCATGTTATGAGCCCCACCTGCTCTAGAGCCAGGAAGCTCTTCTGCAGGAAGCTGCACAGCTTGGCCTCCCTCTTCAGGAAGCGGAGGCTCATCTCCTCCCCAAGCTTGGTCAGTTGTGCCTGGTGACCACACAGTCACTGCCAGCCTGCCCTCTAGACACCTTGCGTGCCCCTCTTCATGGAGTCCTTCAGGTTGAATCATGTCTCCTCTGTGGTCCTTTAGCCCAGCTGAGCTGGGCTTGCCTCACTGGGCAGGAAGGTAGGCAGGGCGGACTGGAGCCACTGTCCCCACAGGACCAGAATCCTGGGTCATGAAGGGCCTGAAGGCTAAGCTCACATGGGCCCAGACATGCTTGGTACCGTCAAGACCCCCAGATGTAGCCAGGGGGCTAGAGAGTGGCCACCACATCCAAGTTAGGTTGGAGACTCAGGCAGGGAAGAGGGTGTGAATGTGTGAATACCTTCACTCATGTGAGAACACCCCTGTGCATATGCCCTATTGTGGGGAGTCCTGCTTCCTCTTAGGGGTGCTCTCCTGCTGTCCCGTAAGTCTGAAGATCCTAAGAGAGGGGTTAGAGGGGACAGCCAGTATCTGGCCATCTGTTTAACAGGGCCTAAGCACCAGACACCTTGTCCATGGCACAGGGCTCTTCTGCCATCAGCACCAGTGCTCAGGCCCTTGCCAGGGCAGGGAGACCTACTACAGCCTACAGCTGATGGCCATGGACAGCCCTCATTCTGCTCAAGAGCAGCCGAAGCCCCCACACGGGACAGATTCCCCCATACCCAGGATGTTGGGAATCTTCAGTCCAATGCCTCTGCCCTCCTCAGAGAGCCAATTCATTCACTTCTCACTGGGCAGTGAGAGAAGAGCTGGCCATCCACTTCCCTACGCCCTGCCCTGTGAGGAGCCTGGATGTGCAGCAGAATGTCAGGCTGTTTACAGAGCTGAGAGGCTGGGGTCATGGGGATATGCGGCAGTTCTCTCCCCGACCGGACTCAACAGTTCCCTGGGGCCTCCTCCTAAGGGTCACTAAAAGGGTCACTCCTTCTAAGGGTCACTGTTGTGGAGGAAACCAGGCCCTGGGAATTTGTAATTCTCACTTCCTGCAGATGGAAACATTGAGGCTGAAAATGGCCACGGGAGGAGCTCTAGTGCTCTGACACTCTGTCTCCTGAACCCAGAGGGAGAGGAAGAGGCAGCAGCAACTGAGACACCTGGCCACGGCCTTCTGTGATGAAGAACCACCTGAAAAACCACAGTCACCAGCCATGTTGCTGCTGAGCACTGAAATGTGGGTAGTATGGCCAAGAAATTGAGTTATAAATTACCTAAACTTGTAGGTAATGTCAACAGGCAGTGCCACTATGGTGAGAGGCCACCACACTGGACAGGGCAAGACCAGGGTCATCCTTGGTCCCACCCATAGGGAAATCCAGCTGCAGGGAGCTGCACGGATGGCAAAGGCACAGGCTGGAGACACTGGAGTCTCCTCCCACACTCTGTTGACGGCCCCTGCCTGGGCTAGCCTTGTCTGCCGAGTTGTACCTGCATCTTGGCCACCTCATGGTCCACCTTCTGGCTGGTGTCCTCCTGGCTCTTCTGCAGAGTGTTGCAGGCTGCCTCCCGGGCCTGCTCTTCCTGCCTCAACCACCCAGTCAGCTTGGCTAGCCTAAGGGCAGGCAGGTGGGGTGATACCAGCTCACTTGCCTAGAGGCCCAAGCTAGGTAGCCATAGGAAGGCTGTCCGGGCAGTGGGACACAGTCCTCCTCAGGCCAGGGTAAACAACTCACTGAGGAGGAGCAGAGACAGACCTCTGAGTCCTCAGTGAGAGGGACTGCAGCAGGTCTGAGGCACCCCCAGCAGCCAGTAGCTCAGCAGAGCTGTACCACAGGGCCGGTGGACCGTGACCCCTAGGCACATGCAGGTGGGTGCAGAGCCAACCCACCTGAGATTGGCCTCCTGCACAGAGGTCTTCCGCTCTGCATCCTGCAGTGCCTGCCTCCTCCTGATCTGAGCCAAGGCTTCTCGGACTTCCACCAGCCTGGCACACAGAAAGCACTATGCTAGTTAGGGCAGGTGACGTGGTCTCTGGGGCTGTGTGTGTGGCCCTACAGCCTATAGCCAGTGCCCTGCCACCTCCCAGAGTCAGACTCAGCCTTTTGGAGTTGGACCATGCATGGGTATTGCACACAGAAACCTGAAGCCAGTGTCTGGGCTCCAGCATGGCCCCACTCCCTTTCCTTCCTCTGAAGCCTGTACCCATGCTGTATGTGGAGGTACCTCTTGTCCACGATCTGCATCTGGTTCTGGTTCTGGGCCCCAGGGAACTGTAAGAAGGAGGGTGTGAAGCTGGGTAGGCTGCATCTGCCATCCACCCTGTGTCTTTCCAGCACAAACTCAAGTGGGGGCATGGAAGGCAGGCACAGGGTCCAGAAGGCAGTGGTCCCAACCCGCAGAGAAGGAAGCCCGGTCTGTGGGTGGGGGGCTCACCACCTGCACCTCCTTCTCAGGGACCTGGGCCACACGCTGCATCTCTTGCCATAGCTGCCGGAGCTCCGAGGACTGCAGCTGCGTGCGCTCACGAACCTGCAGCAGCTCCCTCAGCAGGCTCAGAGAAGCCTGCTCACAGTGCACCTTGTGTCTCCGCAGGGACACCACCTCAGCCTGCAACTTGGCCACCCTGGTCAGGGCCAGAGTGAGCCATTCAGGCGGGGCTCGCTCTGGAGGGAATGTGACCCCCAGAGCCCTTCTGCCCTACACCCTTCAGGCTTACCACTCCTCCAAGCGCTTGGAGGTATCCTGCACAGGGGGAAGGGAACTGGACTCGAAGGGGCTGAACTCATTCCTCTCCAAATTCTCTTCTAGACTCAAGGGCTCAGAGCTGGCCAGACCTTCTACCAGGAGCAGTTCTAGGTCCTCCAGGGTTACAGTGCTGGTTTGTGAACGGGGTGACATCCCTGACAAGGGACTGTCAGCCAGCTCTGCAAGAAGAATGCCTTGAGTGCTCAGTCCTTAGGGCAGTGGCTCCAACTGAGGTTTACAATAAGGACCCAAATCATGGCAGTGACACTTGTTAACTACCCTGAGTCACAAACCATGGCTCCAGTAGGGTCTTGAATCAGAGCGGTCTAGGGCCGCTGAGGACATATAGCAGAAGGCAGCAGAAACAAGCAGTGCTTGCATCTAGCCAGCTCCAGCGAGTACTTATGGGACTCGATCAGCAGAGTGGTCCCCTGTGACGTCAGGCCCTGTGAGCCTCCAGCTTACCTGACATGGCTTCACCAGCAGCCCTCATCTCTGGCTTTAGCCTGGGTCCAGTACTCCAGTAGCCAAAGCTAGACACTGAGCCAGGGCAGCTGGGGATCATGCTGGAAAGTGGTGAGGAAGTTGGGCTGGAAGGCTGTGGGGCCTGGGGAGTGGGTAAAATGAGTTCTTGCCTTTACATCTTGTCTCCTCCGCAGAGGATCCCTGGGAAGTAGGCACAGTTGGCAGTAGGGCTATTCTGGAACCATCCTTTCCTTACCAGAACCTTGTGACTTCACAGCCCAACTGCCAGTGAAACCTGAGCCCTCACCTGCCCTGAACAGCCTCCCCAACTGTCACTCCTGGAAGGATGTGTGATACAGAGCAGTGCTCTCTTACAAAGAGCTTCCTTCAGGGCAGAAGACTGGCCCAGGCAAGCATAGAAGGGCAAGAGCCCAGAACAGAACCATAGCTGATCCTGCAGCCTGGAGCAGGCCCCGAGAGGCCAAGGCCAGCAGCCATCTGAAAGGAGATGCTGCTAGAGGATTTCCCATTCCCAGCAGCCATACTCACAAAGTCAGGAGAAATGGGAAGTAAATTCTGATTGTTTTATTTAACCTAGTATATCCAAAATATCATTTCAACATGTAATCAATACAAAACAACTGTGGAACAGAGATTGTACATGCTTTTTTTGGTACCGTGTCTTTGAGGCCTGGTGTAGTTTTTCATTACCTTTGGTACAACTCTGACACAACCCTTCCCCACCAGAGCACCTAGGAAAAACGGTAGTAAGATAACCTAGATCTGGTCATATAAAAGAGGGACCTGCACCTAACCAGGGCTGCCCAAGGCTGACAGGCTTTACCTGCCCCTCATCCCAGCTCCCCCATGAATAACCAGGTCAGGCTGTGAGGAACCCTCAGTCCTGACAACTGACTGCACCAGCAGGAGGGAAGCCTCTCCCCAGGATGACATCTGTTAACACCCAGTCTGTTGAGGGTGGTTGAACTGTCAGTGGAAACTAGAAAATAGGGAATCAGACAGAGGGGCCAGGCAGAAGAGCAGGGCTAAAGGAAGGGACAGGAAAGGGGAGCCAGACAGGTAGGTGAGGTGGATCAGGTATGAGATGGAGGTATGCAGAGCCTGGATGGACTAAGGGTAGCATCTTCGTATGCCTAGGCTTGGGGACATGTGACCTACAGACCAGAGGCAGCAGACACTGGGGAAGAGTGAAGTTATTGGGATGGCGACAGGGTTGGGGGTCAGGTGAGGGTGGGAGACCTGTCCTGAACTTCCGTCCTGCAGGGCCTGTGTGTGGCATGGTGTTCTTCGGGGTTCTGCCAACGGCAGCAGCAGTTCATAGAAGGCCCAGTCCTACCTACCCACTACCCAAGTCTCAGACCCACATCCCAGGCCGGGTGGAACCAGGAGGCTGTACTGGTTGGCTGTGTCCAAGTCCTTTATTTCTCATACCCAGGATCCAGTGTACTCAGTCCTACATTCCCATGAGCAGAGCAGGGGACATGTTGTGGGGGATGGGGCTGCTGGTTACATCTGCCAGTCTTGTGCAGCTGCATGACAGAAAAGTATCCTACAAAGTGTCTGACGGGAAGGGGCCTGTGGTGACCAAGATACACCAGCTCTAGCCTGGCCCAGCCAGGAGGAGCTGTGACAAGCTGTGGGGTAGGCAGGCATGGCTTCCTGGGTCCAGTTCTCACCAGCCTGTCCAAAGCTACCCAAAGCTGGGCCCAGGTTTCCTGTGAGGCCATCAGGTACCCCCAGTCTTGTTTGTATTTTATGGCTGCTGCAGTCAGAAAGGAAGTCACAACTGATGCCAGGGTCCTCAGGTGTGGAAAAGAGCCCTACTTTCCCAGCTGCTATCCACAGGAATAGTGAGCCCAGCTCCAGAAGGCTCAAGGTGTGGCAGAATCAGGTGTCAGGTAGTTAGGTGACTCTCACCTCAAGACCCTTGTGGAGTTCACATTTCACATGTCCTCTGGGCATGGGGTTGCCCAAGTGGGGCTCCATGGAGTCAGCTGCAGACCCTGACTGCTGGGGTCCAACTGGAGCCACAGCTCAGGCCCAGGAACCTCAGGGTGTGGATGCCCAGAGGGAGATGAGACGGGGCTTGTGGCTGAGAAGGGCAAGTGAGCTCAGTGTGGCTTGGGCCTCCAGCTGGTGCTGTAGGCAAGCATGGCCTGGTAGGGCAAGTACCCATGGGAAACAATACTGAAGCAGTGACCGGGTATGGGGCACAGCTCACCTGTCAAATACACCGGGCCCTCTTGTTGGTTCTGGGGAAATGAGCAGGACGGGGGTGGGGGGGAGGGGGGGGGTAACGGCTGTTGCATATACCTTTGATCAAATCCCTAAAGGGCAGGGGGTGAGGCCTGAGGGCCAGGAGAAGCACAGAGGATGCAAACCAACTGTCCATGATGAGGGTCAGGCCCACGCCACCAGGCCCACTCTAGAGGACATTTGCTCCAGCCACCATGCCGCCCAGGGAGCAAGCCTTTGGCTGAGACCAGGGATCCTGGGAGGCGGCGCAAAGGGGCCGGGGTGCCACTGCCCACCAAGGAAAGGGCTGGACCTCACGTCTGGGCCAGTGAGAGCTCCTCCAGGCCTCCCTTCCCCAGACGGTACCTGGCCAGGTCCTTCCTGGTCACCAGTCCCACCACCTGCAGGGCAACATTGGGTCACAGCCTCCTCAGAGTCAGTGCCCCACCTGTCTCTAGGAGTTGCTGCCCCCAACGCTGTTGGGGAAAAGTGAGACCCTAAGGGATCCCGTACAGGGTTCCCCATGAAGGACACAGACCACTGGCCTTACCTGATTGCAGTTGTCTACCACCACCAGATGCCGGAGACCCAGAGCACGGAACAGCTTGAACACCCGAGGGAGGGAGGCCTCCTGCAAGGTGGGCCAGCCTCAGCCACAGCTCAGGAACCAGAGCCCAGACTGGCATATTTCCTGGCTTCATGATACAAGTATGTATCCTGGGCTCTCCCTTCCCCTCCATGCCTATCCAGCCCTGCCTGCCTGGATCCCAGTGTGCTGTTGCAGAGCTTCAGTAGCTGTCAATGCCCAGCGCATTGGATAGCCCCCTCCCAAGCCACCCAGACATTCTGGCCACATGGCTCTGCCTGGTGGCCTTGCCTGATGGCCCTGCCCACACACCTGGGGCACAGTGTAGGGGGAAGGGTTCATGAACTCGGACAGGTCCATGGTGCATTCGCGCTCATCCTGTGATACATGGATGGACTGGATCGGGGGGAAGCGTGGGTAGGCATCACGAAAGTCCTTTAGCCGCAGCCGCCGTTGCACCAGGCCCATGTTGGATCTCTCCACAAACACCTGCAGGGGCCAATGTTTAGACTCCCTGGGGTGCCCCCTGCTCTGTCCCCCCTCTCCACCCACTGCCAGTTGGCCCTGTACCTTGTGCTTCAGGAGCACGATGAGCTGGGAGCGTAAGATCAAACCCTGGAGCCGGGCTGGCTATAAGAAAAGTAGGAGTTAGGGGGAGCCTTTGGGCAGCAGCCTCAGACCACAGCTGCCTTTTCTGGCTACATCCAAGCCCCAGCCATAGCCACCGACAGCCCTGTTGGAGCGCTGACCTTGCTACAGACACCTGAAGTGCACAATCCCATTCATCCCTGGAGCACCCGAGCAGGGGCAGTGTAATGCCAAGATTGGGCACTTGGTGGTGGTGAGATGCAGCCCTAGGTGAAGTCCCCAAATAAAGCCCAAACCACCAGTGTAACATCTAACAGTCCAAGCAGGATAGGACCTGTGTGAGGGGACACAGTGGTAGCTGGGCTCACGTTCTGCTAGCATCTGCTGACAGAGGTCACAGCCACAAAGGAGACAGCTGACAAGCCTAGTTTGACCGGAAGCACAGGATGCATGTAGTCCAGGGGAGCTCTGCCATGGCTAGCATGGGCACACAGCTGTGGGTACAGCTCTGCTTCTCTAGTGGAATTTCACTCTGCACCTAAACACGGGGCTGCCACATTCACACAAACTGCACAATGTGCTTCCCAACCACAGACCGCAGAGGAAGGGACCTCAAGTCTGCAGGGAGGACTGTTAGTACCTGGGTGTTGTCTGAATCCTCCACCACAGGGAAGCCATTGTGGTTGGATGCTGTGTTGCTGAGGACATCCACAATGACACCCACCTTCTCTCTCCTCCTTAGGCATGTCACCGGCGTGCTCATGACCTCCCTGAGGAGATGCCAGTACACGTTCACCAACACAGACAGTTGTTCATCAGGCACAGCAAGCCTCTTCCTCAGTATCCCATTTATGTACCACGATGACATTCAATAGGTACAAAGCTGCTGAACTAGAAAACTAGGAACTGAGGACCCTCTATACTAGAAGCCACCTGTAGACAAGCCATTGGGGCCTGAAGGCCTGGCAGCAAACCCTTCCCCTGTGGCCTACTACTCACCTCCCACCAAGTGGGAACAGGGTGGCCATACCTGGCAGTGAGAGAATGTGAGGTGACGGGGGCCTCCCAGTGCAGAAAGGGCACACTCTGCAGCTGGATGTGCATGTCATACAGACCCTAGGGGAAGGCACCATAAGGCACAGTGCCAGGTATGGCCCAGGATGCACTGTGCCTGCCCCACCCAGGGAAGCCATTTAGTGTTGGCTTTGCAGGGCTCCCTCCCCTCTGCAGCTGCTGCAGGCCCCACAACCCAGTGTCAGGATCTGAGGCCAGGGTGTGGGTGGGCAGGGTAAGCAGGCCTTCCATTCTATGTACCTCAATGAAGACATCGCCCACGATCTTAGCAGTCATCAGCACCAGCATGATGGGGAAGCCGTAGGTCACGTTGCTTGTGGCCTCCATCATGATGACTGTCAGGCTCAGGGTCATCCTCACAATGCCACCTGCGGGAGGGGCCGTGAACCCTGTCCCTCCCATATAGTGTGTCTACATTCTCTGTGCAGTGCCATGGCTGCCTACTTGCCCCTTCAGGCCCCAGCTGTGGGGACAGTGACTGCCTGGCTCGATTGCTGGCATGTGGCCATGCCATCAGGCGTGAGGACCATACCTATCTCAAGACCATTGTCTGTGCTGTCTTTTTTTTTCCCCTCAGCACTGGGAATTGAACCCAGAGACTTGGCATTAAGCTATGTCCCCTGCTCTTTTTTTTTTTTTTTTGCTACCAGGAATCAAACTCAGGACTTCACACTTGCCAGGCAGGGGCTGCGCCACTGAGCTAAATCTCCAGCATCTTTTTTCCTTTTTTTTTTATATTTTGAGACAGTTGTTAAGTTCCCCGGGATGGGCTCAAACTTGGACTCTTCCTGCCTCAGCCTCCCAGAATGCTAGGATTAGAGGAGTGCACTGTTATGCTTGGTTCCATGTTGCTCATTTAAATGGAGAATTGACTACCACATGCAAGGCCAGGCTTGGCTACACCCATGACAGGGGTGATGAGGCAGGTGTCTCTTTCTGATTTGCAAAACCCACCTACT